GTCAGAGAGGAGCCCAGGGAGAACCAAGGGGAGTTGGGAGGAGCTGAGTAGGAGGCCTGAGGGGTGGGGTGGGGGGGGGGGGGGCCGGGGGAGCTGGGAGGAGCCACACTGCCATTAGCAGGTCCGTCTTGGCTGAATACTGGGATTCAGATGACCAACACAAATCACAAAAAAAAAAGCGACGTGTCACTTAATTACTTTATAAGCAGATATCATATTTTCACACCTCCTCCAGCTTCATCTAGTTGACATTCAGACTGTGCCCAAAATGATCATATGCTATTCCTCTCTATTTTGATGGAGCTGACATGTAGTGATGATATTCACACCTACACAAGCTGCTCGGACAGAAATCTCAGCCTCAGCATGTAAACGCGGACCGAAGACCGACCCGCCATCACTCGAGCAGCTCGTCCAGCCGCACACGCCGCTGTCTGGTCCCTGCTTTCACTGGCAACATATCAAAATCCATAGACACCCTCTGTGTCAATTCCCCTTCCACATGGCCAGACGCCCTGTACACCAGATGGACATCATGCCGTAGATGCAGCAGACCACAGGCAGAGCTACTGATCAGCCGAGGAATTGTGGTCTGTGCTGCATACGGGACTGTAGTTTGCACTGTGGTCCGGACTGCTCTTCCTGCAGATGCTAAATGCGCGAGGCCCATCAGACAGGGTCCAGCTGAATCCATATCTATCCAGGTCAGGATGGATCATGAGAGTCTGACTCAACAGGACTGAAGGCCATAGCTCTGAGCTCTGATCGCAGACCTTGGTTCTAAAATGCCATTTTCAGACCTAAGGTGATGCCATTTTGTGCTTCTTAAATCAAACATCGGGAAGCCAGCCAAGGTCCCCCGACACATACACAACACAGCACCCAATGCTTCAAATACTGCCTGCTAATAATAGGCTGGTATACAATTAACCCTCAGATTAATTCAGGCCATACAAAGGGCAGGTTTCCCCAGGGGCATATTGACAAAAGCAAAACTGAGAATTGATCCTGAAAAATAAAGGTTGCCAAACAAGTACTAAAAAACAACTCCTCCCTTCCATCCAATCACTATCAATAATCAGGCAAAAAGGATGGATTCTAGAAACTCTCCCAGGGTGCTATGCAGCCCCACACCCTGGAGGGGGCGCTGTAGTGCACTCACACGTGTTCACCCTGATAAATGGGGCAATCCTGCACACTCGTCACATACAACCACCACGCTGAGCCACCCTCGAAGGTTTTAGAGATTGTGCTTTGAGAACGTCACCCGCTGCAGTCAAGGAGACACCAATGACAGTTCATGCACCTGCCCATTGGTTCAATGATGCCCTTCGAGTCACCCTCAAAGCCTCATAGCCATGTTCCAGGATGTCACTATACGAAGATGAGAAGATCACCTGGTGGTGGACCTCAGCTTCGCATGACGGCCAGAGAAGGAAGGTGAGGAGACAATGGCTGTTGCCACCAATTACGGCTGTATAGGCAGCAGTAATGTTTGACAGCACTCAAACCATGCATCTCTGCCGGCCCCCTGTTGGCCATAAACAGTCACTACACTAAATATTAAATAAATAAAGCAACTGACCAATGGTGCAATCATGATCCTTTGCATCAGTATACCATCGCAAATGCCTTTGGGTTTATAACTTCCCATGTATGTCTGCAGGTATACGCTGAAACAAAAAATCAGCAGGTCCAGTAGGAGAGTCTCATGGGGCAAGAAAGCAGAATGTTTGATGGCTCTGGTGCCACAAGATGGGCTCGGAACCTTCCGGATCAGTCAGCCGTGAGGGATGGAGCACCTGCTGTCTCTAACTGTGGTCCAGTTAGCTTTGCTTTGCATATTTCTGTGAGGTTGTACAACAACCATTTCAGCACACTATGCTTTTATGCTTTTATAGAAATTGAACACTGTCACCTTTGGTACAAAAATGATTTTTGGTTTTCCTTCATAAAAGAGAAAGCCTGATGCTGAATGAGACAATATGGAAGCAGTGTCTTCTGTGATGTACGAATGTCCCCGTTAAGGCCGAGGCCTATACTTGCTCTGCCCCATCAAAGAAGGGTTAGAGTCAACGGGTTAGAGGTTATGGTTAGGGGTTAGGGTTAACCTTAACACTATCAAAGAAGGTCACCGCTGGAGTTGAAGGATCCAGGCAGCCACTTCACCCATGATGATTCACAGAGGATTGGCTGAGGTGGCCACGTTGACACAGTAACATGGACCCAGATATTGACTCACAACTTGAAAATCATCTAGCAGTATTCAGCATCCACTACTTCTTGCTGCTTGGCCCGCACTGAGAAGAGCCTGAGCAAATATTCACTCAGCATCGGCTCCTCAGCCTAAGCACTGCTGTATGTCTCTTTCTGTGTTTGTGCTTCTGCTGCATTGAGGAACGCAGGTCTGGTTCTGGACAGTCTATGTCTCTCTCCTTCACATGCCTTTGATTCAATTCCAAGGTGAAAGCAGGTTCTCTGGAAGAAGCACCGCTGTTTGTCTCTTTCTATGTTTGTGCTTCTGCTGCATTGAGGAACGCGGGTCTGGGTCTGGACAGTCTATGTCTCACTCTTTCACATGCCTTTGATTCAATTCCAACTGTCCATTTGTGGTTTCCGACCACACTGAGTGAAGCAGCCTTTGAAAAATGAACAACAGAATAACAAAAACCCAGCAATTAATGGCAAGTGTGTCATTCTGCAAGATAAAGAGGGACAGTCTGCTGGCTGGCTTTCGTTTTTTGCAGAGATGTGCTCTCGTAATGAGAGTCCACCATCATGGCATCACTTTGTTATGTCTGAGACAGCGTTGAAGAGCCAGGCCTGCAGGCACCCGGGGCTGGTCTACGCGTCGTAGCTGCGCTCCGGTGCCGAGGGGAAGCTCATTTTCTCCCAGCAGTGTAAGGTCATACGATAGTGAGGGAGATGTTTCTCTGGTGTCATAGGTAACCGAAGCAGCACCTTAAACACACCAAAGATGCTAAATGATATTTCAGGAAGCTGCAAGTGTCAGTCACAATAACAAAATGAAACAATGCCATCCAGTGCAACCCATTTAACCCTGTCCCATCTAACCCATCAAACCCGGTCCCATCTAACCCATCAAACCCCTCAAACCCTGTCCCATCTAACCCATCAAATCCCTCAAACCCTGTCCCATCTAACCCCTCAAACCCTGTCCCATCTAACCCATCAAATCCCTCAAACCCTGTCCCATCTAACCCATCAAACCCGGTCCCATCTAACCCATCAAACCCGGTCCCATCTAACCCATCAAACCCTGTCCCATCTAACCCATCAAACCCGGTCCCATCTAACCCATCAAACCCTGTCCCATCTAACCCATCAAATCCCTCAAACCCTGTCCCCTCAAACCCCTCAAACCCGGTCCCCTCAAACCCCTCAAACCCGGTCCCATCTAACCCATCAATCCTGAGCCCATCAAACATATAAAATAATGTTATTATTTGTCCAGTAGGCATCAAGCAAAGTGTGAATGGCAGTTGTGCTGCTACTTTTTTCAAATGGATATTGTTGACTGAAATAAGTCAGACCAAGAATTGACTCTAAGATACAACCGTGCTGCTCCCCTGGGATTTGCTATGATGACCGAGAAGTCTTTACAGTCTAAATGCTTAGACCTCCAAGAAGCTCAGGAGCAAAGGTGCCATGAATGTCTGCCAGGTATTTTTATTAAGACTTGAAACTGCTTTTTACCAGTGACCGAGCAGGTTCGGACCAGGTTAACTTAATAAACATATAAGGAACTATGATACCAAGCCTGACTCACTCAGTACACATCACGAGTGCAGCGTAAATTCTCAACCGTACAGGCAGGAAACACGTCCTGACCTTTCAGCTAAAAATCCTAACCGTGAAACTTCGAAAGGCACAAACCCACTGGAATGACAGAATCTGGCTACCGAGTGTCCACCGTTCATAAGTCCCATCTACTCATTTCTTGACAGGTTCAGATGTAATGAATGACTCGTAACAAAACGCAAAAAAATGAATGAATATACCAATACAGTGGGATACGCGCGTCTTGTGCAACGTTAAGGTGTAACGAAGATCAAGTGCAGTAAAAATATCATCTACTGAGCATTTATCGCCGTTAATTTTTAATAATTACATTTTTAATAATGACATGCGAAGTAATTAATACATTGCTGTTAACGTCTTTCAATTACAACCAAAAAAAATAACTCTGATCAAAAGCTGATTAATTAAACCAGTCATTTTAAAATCTGATTATTTTCGTCTTGTCTGACATAATTTAACAGAAGCTATCAGCGCTAATAAAGCCTTTTGCATGGTTCAGGTCAAAATGAGGAGTTATTCAGTCGGTCGCATCTGAAGTCGTGGTATTAAAGCCGATGAAATTTTATCCAGAAAGCGCCGCTAACATAAGTAAAGCGGCTCCACCTTAAAGCGGAGCGGACAGCGCCGTGGTGCTGAAAGCGCACCGGGAGACGCGCAGGAGCGCCGCTCACAGCCATCATCATCATCAACACCCTCATCACCATAACAATAATGATAATAATAATAATACATAGCGTTCATGCCCCTAACCCCAGGGCAGCTCCTTCGAGAGCATATCAACGTGCTATCATCCGCAATAAAAGGGGGCTTGATAGGATTTCTAAGCGAAGATGGCGGCCGTTGCTTCCCCAACCCAAAGGCATCAGAAAAGCCAGTGTATGTGCGCTAGGAATGGGTGCAGCACATCGCGTCTGCACACTGAAATGCAGCGGGGCTGCGCCATCAGTGCCAATTAAGAACCGTGCGGCCCCCCCCCCCCCCCCCCGCCTGTCCCCAGCTGTGTGGCCGGGCATCATTGCCAAGCTGGGGCATCAGCACGGAGCTGGCACCGCAGACGCGTTTCCATGCCGGATTGAACACGCTCCTTGGACCTTGAGACCCGGACAGAGGAGCTGCGGCGACCCGACAATCACTGCAGCAAAGCTGCCGGGGTTCAGTGCGGGCAGCACACGGCTTACTTCAGCATGGACTGCTCCTTCTCCTCCTCCTTCTTCTGCCGGTCCATGACGGCCAGAATGATCTTCCTCTCCTCCTCGGTGAGGTGGCTGAGGTCCGGCATCTCCGGCAGGACGGCAGCCGCAGGAGGAGCGGCGGGGCCGCCCCGGGGCCCGGGCGGAGAAGACATCTTTAGATCGGACTGCGAAATGATCAGCCATTTAAAACATGGAATTCAAGAAAAAACATTTTTTAAATAATTGATAATGAAATGTAATATAATCCCCATATTTTCACGACGTTCCGCTGTCAAAAAACAATTCTCAAACAGCTCTGATTGTAAGAAACAATCGCCGTGTTTATCATTTGTTTATCAAATATTGATTTTTTTCCCCCCACGTACTGAGTCGGACATATGTGTGAGCATATCACACGCATGATTAATGCACGCAAAATGTAACATCAGCTGGAGCATGGATACGCACGGTCGGGGTAAGCACCTCTCACTTAACGCCGCCCCCACCCCCCTTACACCAAATCTGTGTCTTTCCAGGTAACTGGAAGCCAGCGAAATGATGGCAGAAAATCAGGATTTCATTCACATCCACATGGCATTAAAGGCGAGCACAGAACCCGTTGTAGATGATCTGCATGGAAAGCGCGGCTTCCCCTATGTGAAAAAGCATTTAAAAGGACACGCACGTCGCTGGCAGCTGTGAACACCGGAGAACCGCTCGGTGCTGCATATGCAGGCATTTAAAACGAGCCCTTACCTTTTATTTGCCACTCATGGTAAATCCCGTCTAGCCCATCGCCGTCCTGCCTATTTGCACTCTGCGGCGGTCGCCTTTTGGTCCCTTTTCATCGCCTCCTCGCCGATTTCCTCCTGCTGTCTCTTATCCCGCTCGTTAATTCTTGGATACTTCTTAAACGCACAAAAATGGATGCAAAAAAAAAAGGAAAAAAAAATCCCGACAAGGCAGG